GGGTCCAGCCAAGTCTGCCTTGCTTGGGGAAGTTAGCATTGGGGGATTTGAAGGTTACTAAAGTTCTAGTTCAAGACGATACCCAAATCATGAGTTTTTCTGCTATAACTGCTCACAGGATTTAGGACCTTGCTATGCTGGGAGGTAAAGTCACATTTGTACAAAGCTCACTAAAACAAAACAAAACTTGGCAGAAAGAATCACTTACAAAAAAAGAAATATAGGTAAGAAACTGTAGATCAGAAAAAATCCACTACTCATTTGACAAGAAACGATAAACTTACACAGTGAGAAATCCCTGTGGGGAGTATTTCTCTATAAGAAACAGTAGGAGAGAGAATAAGACAAGATCTGAAAAGAAACATCAGTTGCTAGCAGCAGTGGGCAGCTGCAACACAAAAACAAGTGATTCCAAAAGACCTTTTAGGTGTCTGAGAGTACTCCATTATTACTTACAGTAAAAGCACAACTCTGAGTGCAATTTCATTGCGAGGGAACCACTATACCAAGATGGACAGTGACCTTAAAGGAGGGGCAAGGGCAGCCCTTGAAGGGTGGCTACATGATCTGCTGGCTGGGCAGTGCCAAGAGCCTCCACTGGGTGAGGAAAACAGCCCACTGAGCCTACAGAATGTGATGCTGATAGGTCACGTAGGATGTGGTAACCCATGTTTAGCTCAGCCACATCTTCCAGTGGGACTTCTGGAGAGCCACCAACATCTCCCAGCTGAACTGCAGCTGGAGCTCCCTGCTCTCCCCAGCTTTATGACCTTGTCACATGCATGTGGTCATAAGAAGATTTTCATATGTAGCTTGAGAGCCAGAAAATTTTGTTGGATCTACATGAGCAATTCCCACAGCCTTTCTGGATAGGGTCCAGCCTGCCAGCTCTGGTGTGGTAACACGTAGGCAGAGTACAGGTACCTATACAGGGATTCCTCCATGCTCCAAAATGTACTTTACTCAGTGCATTTGCTGATCAGTGGCACCCAGAAAAGAATGCCAGGTTCAGCATAAAGCCACACAGAGTTTCCTCAAAATCAGTTCTATGACACACTTAGTCAAGGTTTAAAGGCTAAAAAGAAGAAAAAAGTAACATGGACATTTTTTCCTTATTTTTAAATATTAACTAAAGACTCTAAATGCTCATTTCTGGAAAAAAAAGGTGCTTTCTAAACTGCTATTCAGGAATTAACTACTCAGACTAATGTGTAAGAAACACAGCTTCATGTCTGCAGTAACACTGGATGGAAACGGAACATTCCTTTCTAATTCTCTGCACACCAAACCTCCTGTGCATCTTGGGCAGTCTTTGAACACATTTACAGGTAAAAAAATGTGTCTGTAGGAACTGAAAGAGAAAGCACACAAAACACCTTAAACAAGCACTTTGCGAACACAACTCTCAGAATAAAAGGAGTCAAGATTCAGAAGAAATTAATAATCTGCCATGATTTTAAGTTTAAAGCATGAGCAAGGCTTATTTTAAAAAAGAGTGCAACAGCCTTCCAAGAGCTTTCAGAAACTGTTTTCAATGAAAACTCTGACAGATATTTACATCAAGCATAAGAGTGCTTTGGTGGTGAGTGATACCTACACGCCATATGATGACATGTGACAGAAGAGAACTAGCATGGCAGAAGTTGAAGGTGCTCCACTTGACATGTGGGATGTGTTCTGATGTCAGCTAAATTTATGCCATATGCTACAAAGCACAGTGTAGTGTCTGCCTTTTTTTGGAACACAAACAACTTGCTGACACTAAATGGAAAGTTCACTGCAGGATTTACATCATCTTTGACCTAATTGTGACAGCCTAGGACAGAACTACTCAGGCTGCTCCTTAGGACTCCAGATTTTTTGGGTGATGTGTGTATTTATCGTCCAAACACATTACACCATATTAGGAAAATTATCACTGTAACCATTTCAGGTACTGGCACAAGTAACACCCCATTCTGCATTCTGGTAGAGAAAAGCAGGTCTGCACGAATTAAAAACAAAACCAAGGGAAAGGCAGGGCCCCAAAGCAGGCGGAGTAACTGGGTAAATGTTGCCCACACATGTGTCTGACATGCAGATGTTTTTAAATGTCTCCACCCACATCCAGATGGGCACAGCAGGAACATATTATACAAAGAAATGTGTTGGGAGTTGTGCAGAGACTAGAAAAAATATCAGAAGCTAAGTGTGAAAATCCTCCTGGCAGTGAAGTTTTGACCTGTCCCCATTTAACACAACAGCCCCAGATATTTGAGTTGGTAATAGAAGCAGGGCAGTAGCAGACTAAAACATGATCATATGTGACTCACTTAAGCCACAAGCAACCCCAAACCACCAGGTTATCAAATAACCCCAATATTAACGTGCCTAATAAGCTTTTCCCTGCTCCACCATCTTTAGATTTTACCTCCCCTGAAGCCTCCACACCTCCTATCTGGAGAGCAGCTTTGTTGTCTCACAATTTTCTTTGACAGAGCTTATTTAGTTCGATTTTGCTTGATAAGAGAACTGCAAAGACTTGGAATTGAAGCTGAACAACAGGAACTCACCATCCTTGTAAATTCATATGTTGCCAAGGTGAGAGCCTGAACAAGAAGCAGAATTAGTGGTGCAGCCCTACCTTACCAAGAACCAGAACACAGATGAAAATGAAATCATGTTGGGGAGGAGAGGAAGTCGAGATCTTATAAAACCTGCCAACTTTGAGACATCAAATGAGCAAAACCAGCACCAGTCTCCTTATACTAACTCTCTGGTGCTCCCAGGCATAAAAGCGAAGCTACCCACATCAGCAGTATGATGTGCTCTTCTAGAGGAGTTAACTGTAAAAACATTTGCCAAGTTATTTGCAGGCTGTGCCAAATATATGTCAGGACCCAACAGAAGGCTCTTACAGCCACAATTGTGGAGAATCACGACTTTGCTGTCTCTCTCTTAACAGCAGTGGACTAAGTAATCATATTTTTCCAGGAAAGATTAGATGTCAATTTGTTTTCTTTTGCTGCTCCAATAGGAGTAGCACAAAGCTTGGTGTCAGTTTTGAGGAAGTCCCCACCTCCTGCAGCCCCTTTCACAAGTTAACAACCTTTCCCTCCATCCCCAAAAGAGTTTGCAAAGAGAAAAAGGTTATACAAATGGCCTCTCTTTTCAATCTGTTGCGTTTAAATTCCAATTTTTTACCTCAATAAAAGTAGCCAACATTGAATTATCAAATATTTACTTTCAAAAGTGTGCAGAAATACCTCAGGAACAGCCAATGACTTGAAGAACACCTAACTGCTTATGAGGTTAAGTTATAAATGAATTCAACTGCCTAAGTCACAGCACAGGACAGATTCTAACATGTTGTTTGAGGCTTTTTCCTGAAGATCTTATCCTTCACTAAAAACTACTCTTGTGAAATTAGAAGAAATAATTACACAAATAAAAATGGAAGATGGAGAGAAGAAATCAACTCTCAGTGACAGTGTAAGATTCCAATTCATGCTTCTGGAATGATTAATTTTTTCCTCTACTACTTCATTTATGTTTAAAATGGATTATTTAAATTTACAAGCATTTGATGTCATATATACACGTGAATACTGCAAAACAGTAAGAGACACTGAAGGCAGCCCTTTTATAACTCTCAACTGTTCTTCAAAAAATTGGACCCACTCTAGGCAAAGTGAGTTTTATGTCATGCATGAAAGATGGCAGGTGTTTGAAGTCAGTGTGGGAGACACTGGCAACCCCACAGCACTCTGAGCAAAAGGCTCACAAGCCTGTGAAAAACCCAGAGCTCTGTTAGATCCAGCATGACACTCATGCTGCAATGGGCACACAGCAAAGGCTGCTGTAGATGTACCACCTAGAAAAGGCTGTGACTTCCTCCTGGGTGAAAGCTTCTATTAGGAGAGGAGATGATCACTCAGAACATAAAAGCAACATCTTATTTGGCAAGTGCCTTCAGAGTTTGCAGAGGTATAGCCTATTGGAAACACACAGGGTAATGAACACTGCTGGGTACCACTGTGAAGTGCTGCTGATGAGTGCAGTGTCTCTGTAAGGAATTCTTCTGTTTCAGAGGCAGCAGATGCACTGTGTGTTGACACGACTGGTATTGGAACTGCAGTACACAAAGAAGTCACATAAAACCCACAGCAAGGTCCAGATCGTATATTAATGTTGCTATAATCCATGCACCAGTCTTCTGCCAAATGTGTCAAATTTTCCCCTATAATGGAGCTATTTTACTCACTGGGCTATATCCTGCATTTTTGAGTCACACACATTTTAGACATTTAACAGAGCAACAACCACTTGCAGAGAAAGAGAACTAATTGCAATAACATATCCATTCTCTATAAATTGCTCTGTTCATAAAACAAGTTTGCAATATTGCTTGGCTAATGAGACATGGGCAAAGTTGGCAAGCCTCAAATATTAGAACTCTCTGCTTTTACACTAAGTGTATGTAAAGTTAATAGCATAACTCTAATAAATAATAAATATATCCAGAAATGTAGATTCCCAGTAAAAAATTCAAACAATCAATTCATGCAAACACAATGTATACTCACTCACCCATACAAGACAGACCTACACACTCACACCTGCCATTCTGGGTTGGATCCCATAAAACATCCAATTTTCTCCTTAACAGAGTTCATAAAAAACTCAGGGAAGGAATTAAATGAAATGGAAGGCTACACAATTCCATCACACCCTGACAGATATACTAAAGGTTAGAAAGCTATTGCTACGATAACTAGTTTCTGTAGTTTTTACATGCATAAAGAGAAGAGTGAATTAATTTTATTGACCTTTTGTTTAAATATAAAAATATCTAATGCTAAGGCAGTCAGAAAGTTCTGTGTGCAGGGAAAGGTAAATTATCTATAAACCATCTGGCACTACTTACAGATACATCTCAAGTAAATTAATACATAAAGGTGAAAAAAACCCCAAAGTGCCTCACGACAAAGGTCACATTGAGACTTACACCATGAACATACCTGGCAGATTCCACTGATGCACATATCCAAGGATTCAATATTGCATCGAGTACCATCTAGCACTTTTGGGGCAAGCTCCACAACCAAGTTCTTTCCCAGAGCTTGACACTTCAGGGCACAGGGTGCAGTAGGGTCGTTATAGACAGGGATCCACTCGTAAAAGTGTCCCTGGTATTTGACATCATTGTAGGCTGAACACTGTTGTGCTCTGAAGTCACCAACATCTGAAGGGCAGTCCTGAAAACAAACAAAAAGAAATATTACTTTTTTTTTGAGAAGGGAATATTTGCATTTGCAGTAGAGTTATCTGATGAATTACACAGAGGCTATTCAGGCAGGCTTGGCTCAAGAATGGATCTGCTATGACAAATATGCCACACTGCAAAGTTTTGCTGTGTGCATTAGAACTATTTATGTTGCTTAATCCATTGCTTGCAGTGCAAGTACAGAATATGATGTATATCCCAGTAATAACAATGTAATTGATAACAGAGGATAATTGAAAATGTTAATTTTATGTATGGTTCTGTAGTAAAAATTAGCTTCGAAAGGAATCTACGTATTTTGAGCCACTATAATGAGATGCCTGACACTTAATATTTCTTTTCTCAATAACTTTCCCACTAATTCCTCAGATTTCTGAGGGCTCTATGCCCATTCATCAATTCATATGTCAGAGTAATGAAAGAGGCATTAATGATACTTTATAAATAAAGAAATAAGAAATTGTCTAATTAATTACTCAGTATTGCTTGGAAAGGGACAAGACCATTAGGAGGAGACACCAGAACTTTCAATGCTTAGTCCCTCAGTCTAATTACAAAACACCTTCACCTCATGGAGGCAGTAAGGCTTACTTTGTTGAAACAAAATATACTTCAAATTGGCAACTATTGATTATATACTTCCAGTTCTAATGAGACAGTTCCGTACCTTGTCCCACACAAAGCCTCAGCATGCACAGCTGAAAGGCCAAATACGAGAAATGTCTGAAATAAAACATTCTAAAATATTTTTTCTACATAATGCATTGCACCCAAACAATGATGTTAATATTAAACTATGGTGACAGGAATGCAGATGAATACTGATTGATTTGAAAATAACTTTGGTAAAGTACTGGCAAAGGAGTTAGTGTGTCAAACAATTCCTCACTACAGACTTCATTTGAAAGTATGTCCAGTGTCAAAGAGTCCATATGCCAGACTGAAAGGATATTCTTCCAAGAATTCCAACTGCACATATAAGCCAGATGTGAGGCTGATTTTAACAAAGTTTTGTTTTCATTGGATGGAGACTGAAAGATTGTGATGTGTCAGCTGAACTCATGGAACTTATTAGTAAGTATTAGTTAACAATACTGATCCCAAACAGCTTCAACCTTATCAGTGAACTGAACCTTCCCTGAAAAAAAAAAAAAGCTAATGAAATAGTAACTCCATTACACAGGACTGGAGATTAAAACATACAGGAGAAAGGCTTGAATTTCAGTCCAATGCCCTCAACAATATTGTCCTGATACTTAGTTTTAGGGGTGTTTTCACCTCAGCAAACAAGAACCTAGAACTGTCACTGATTTAGTTATAGTCTACATAAAATACCCTGCAAAAATCAGGGTATTTTTCCTGACCAATATGTGGAGTTTCTGCAGCTGAGCACTGAGCAATCCAGTGAGCTTTCCCAGAAACACTTCAACTCTGTCTAGTGCTGCACCTTACAGTGAGAATAACTCAGTATGATGCTAATACATTTTGTATTCATTTTAATCTGGGATAATGTTAGTTGGATCCATTTTTTTAAACTATAAAAATGATGGAATAAGACACAGAGAAATTACAGTTACTGCAATTCTGTGAGTGTTTTACCTCCACAAAATCCCACAAGTGAGAGCTTCTAAAAACATCAAGCAAATACTGTGAGGAGCCACACATATTCACTGCAGTGTCACTCCCAAGAAATCCAGAAGTTTGCACCAGTGTAAATGAGAGCAGAATTTGGCTCTGACTTATCTGTCACCTCTCATTTTCCACAACAGCAAGTCTAAAAAAGCAGAGAGGACTTCAGAGTTCATATGGATACCATATGGTTCCCTTCCACCGATGCAAAGAGAGGAGTAGCTAAGGATGAAAATAATAAGTGGAAGTTAGAGTCAGGTAAAGTTAGAAGCAATATTTCGGAGTAGTGTTACTCAGCCATGCACAGCTACATTTTCACCACAAAGAATTAAAGAGTGATCTGTAAAGCAGGCAGAGTGATGGCCTTCAGCTGAGCTTTGACAGGCTGTTGTTACAATCCATTATCACTGAGTGTTGATGCAATGCCAAGACACAAACACCACAATGTCAGGATGTCAATCCATGGTTACTGTATGTTTCTCATTGATTCAACACAATGCAGCTCCTTCCTTCCCCTTGCTTCCTGCCCACTTGAGAGCAAGTGAATTCTCATCTCCCTGTTCTCTTCTGGCATCTTCAAAGAACCCAAAGCGATTCTGGCAGCTCGATTCACATGCCATCTCCACCTGCTTTATGTTTGGGCTCTGTTCAAAAGCAGGAGCATAAAAAGAGCATCACAAAGGGATATCAAAGGGCTGAAATTATTATCATTTGCATTATATCAGAATTTGGATGGTGACCAAGTTCAGATTCCCATCTTCCAGGGAACAATAAATATTTGTATAAAGAAAGGAGTTTAAAAAGAAAGAAAGCTAGGCACAGAAAGGAGTGTAACTAGACAACAAGAGGACTTGCAAACATCAGTTTAATTCCATTGAGTGGGTTAGAAAAGTGAGAGGGAGTTTAAAAAATCAAAAGGAAAAGGCAGGGGAAAGATGTGAGAGGCAGGCAAGGGTGTAACATGTTTGGGAAGTGGGCAAGGTCATCTATCAGACAATGATACATGGGCCCCAACCCTCATCCTGTTTATGAGCCTTTTTGTTTTTAATCTATTTCAGACACCAATTCATTCCGCCATTCCCTCTCTCCTTCCAATAGTCCACATTTTTTTCTTATTTGTTAAATATTTTCCCTATTAATTTCAGGATTTTTCAGATTTCTTAATTTCAGCCATAGTTCTTTTTCTTGCACTCAATCCACTGAACCACAGCCAGGCTGTTTGTAGGTTCATACACTACATATGCAGCTGAAGACATATCTATGGGGTCTAATACATGAAAATGTTGGCAAAATAATCACATCCAGACCTTGCAGTGGAATGAAGTGTATTTATGACATGACTTATGAACGTATTAGACAGCCAGATCTGAAAAAGATGCTTCAGACATGACTACCATGCAGATTAAAAACACATATATATTCCCATTCTTTTTGTGACAGATGATTAAAAACTACTGCTTTCAAGGGCTGCCTGCTTATGAAATGTATCTTTGAGTGCTGGCAGTAAGCACTCTCAGCCTTTGAAAACAAAGCTAACCTGGGAAATCTGTATCTTTGCAGGCAATGTTCATGTACAAAATATGAAGGTTGCATCAGACCCTGTGACTCTTGCCAACAATTACTGCACTGAAAAAAAGCACAAAAGAGAAGGCAAGAAAATTCCCAGTAAAAATGATGACACCAAAGAAAGTCTAGCCCTTTGTCTAGTTTTATTATTTGAATCTCATTTTGTTGAAACCCAGCCAAAACTGATGAAGTCATTGTTTTGTTTTCTTTTTGAAATTAGCTTCAGGTTCTGTGTTTTTCCTACAGACTTTTCAGGCCACTTCTAAGTAAAATCAAGATACCTGAGCTAGAAAACACCCCAGCCAAGGGAGCCATACAGTGCATCAGCATTATAAATATAAAATTAATAAATTAACAGATAAGAGAGAAACTATGCAACTCATGGTGAAATATCCTAGGTCTAAAGCAGACACAGTTCAGCCAAGATTTTCTGAATGGGATAAATTAGCTGGTTAAGAAGTGGATCCTGGGACAATTATAAATGGATCTACTGAACAAGTGTGAGCATTATCTGTATATAATAAAAGTTTATAATGCAGTTAAACACAGGGATCTCTTTTATAAAACAGTGGGTTTTCTTACTGTAGAAGAATCACTGTGGCAAACATCTAAGTGACTTTTTGGCACACAAGAATCTGAAATTTATGGGGAAATGGCCCAAATAACTTGTTCTATGAATAGGACCCTAAAGGATTAACTTAAACACTTCCACATAGTGCACATCATAGCATTAGAATGTAACAGTATATACAAAAATTGAAATATAAAAAAGGGGGGGAAGAAAGACTGAAAAATCTCATTGAACAACATACAATGAATAGCTTATTTCTCTAAAGTTTCTCTATGGAGGGCTGAGAGCATACATGCAGTTTCAGGAAATCATGCACCTGGCATCTCAGTTATGATAGAAAGATAAGCTGGCTATACATATGCCTTAATCTCAGCAATTATTTTGCTGTTAAGACTTTGAATTAATTCTTCTATTGAAATATCACTAATATTATTCTGGAACTATGCTTGAGTTCAATGATCTTACTACTATTCTATTACAAATCCAGATGAAACCAATTTTCTGGTAAAATGATTCTTGTTCTTTTCATTAGAATGACACACATATTAAGTTGTGCTTCATTTGTACTCCCCAATATAGATGTTAGTGCTGTAATGTATCATGTAGCAAAATTACATTTGCAGACAGCTTTACACCATGTATTTATACTGAATGTCTCATGTGGTTACCAGTAATACCTACTAATATGGAAAGAAGCTAGTATAAACTCTTAATTTTCAACTTTAAATTTTACTCCTCAAGTGAGAAGCATTCATTAGAAATAATGCTTTGGAGAAAATTATATCATTTGAAACTAAACTGGCCTAGTAGTCCCAGGTTTAGATTAGGTGTAAGGTCCTATTTCAAGGTTAAATCAGACTGAGTAGAGGTTTTGAATTCAGTGATGCCAGTTTCAAAGATCAGCTGTATTAACAGTGGAAATCTCATTACATGTATTTTTCTCAGTTCTTCATTATCTGATCCGTAATCTAGGAAAAACCATTCCTGAGAGATTCTGACTGTATCTGAACTGAAATGGAAACCTGATCCCTTTCAGACATGTCCCAAAAGCAGAACTGTAAAGGCAGTTTCCTGTCTGGAAATTAACATTTGGATCATCATAAATTCAAACAGATTCGCATACAAGACGCCTGCCACTTATCGCTTTCAAATAAGTCCTAAAGTTAAAAAACAGGCTCCAGCGACTTCAGATAAACTCCCTGGGAGTTCAGAGAGGATATGGTAATCATCACAATTTTCTCTATGCTGAAGCATAAAGTGCCTTCATTTCCATCAGATTTTTACTGCACAAACCTTAAAATGAACAGTATCCTCAACTGTCCCTATATGTACTAGAAGAATATAGATCTCTGCACATAGCAGAAATTATGCCCAAATTGATCTCACCATCTTCCCTTTGCTGTACACTGGGCAGATCTCTCATCCCTTCACCGGAGGGACAAGGTACATCATGACTTGTTTGTACTATTGCAGAAAGCTGCAGTGTTAGGGTTAGGGATCAAGCAGCCAGAAGTATATCACTATATACAATGTTACAAGTAGATATTTAGTTAAGCAATTCAGCAAATAGGTTTTACAGTGGCAGTTTGTTCACTGCTCACATCCTGACTGGCTGCAATTTAGCTTATCATTCAGCTTTTAAAGGTGATGGTATTTTTTGCAGGTAGCATTTGTTTTTATGAGCTCAGGCCATCACACACCAAGCTGCTGGGCCTCTTCTTCTGAAAGGGCAAGGGACAGGGTTTGTCTCCTGAACCTGATTTCTGCATGCACTGGGCCTGATTCATTGGGCTTCCACTGACTTCTGCCAGCAGAAACTTCAGCTGTGAGCTGCTGTGGTGGAAGATCCATCCAATACTGAGGAGTGGAGCGTTAGAGCAATTCAAGGTGCAGGCAAGCCTTGTTCTCAAGGAGGGCAGGAGCCAACTGGCACACCAGAGACCTTAGGTGTGGCAAACTGAAGAGTGGGAATGGTCAGTTCTCCCAGGAGTTGAACTGATTCAACATATTTACTTGGCAACCTCCGTTGTCAGGCCTCCTGAGGAGAACATGTCATACTCCACACCTGCCTGCTGCTGGCAGTAATCATGGGATTGACAATGACAGGAGTACCACCTGCACTTGTCTGGGTATAATTCAACCCAAAGGATATTCAGGCCTCACCTTTTAGGGGTATTTTTATGAAAAGTGTTGCCTTTCTCCCAGAGCCAGAAGCACCTTGAAGACTGTGCTCAGTTCTGGGCCCCTCTGTTCAGGAGGGACATTGAGGTGCTGGAGCAGGTCCAGAGAAGAGCAATGAGGCTGGTGAAGGGACTGGAGCACAAGTGCCATGAGGAGAGGCTGAGGGAGCTGGGGGTGTTCAGCCTGGAGAAGAGGAGGCTCAGGGGAGACCTTATCACCCTCTACAACTACCTGACAGGACGTTAGATTCAGTCTCTTCTCCCAGACAACCAGCAGCAGTTCAGTCTCTTCTCCCAGATAACCAGCAGCAGGACAAGAGGGCACAGACTCAAGCTCTGCCAGGGGAGGTTTAGATTGGATATTAGGAAGAGATTTTTTATAGAATGAGTAATCAGGGATTTGAATAGGCTGCCCAGGGAGGTGGTGGATTCACCATCCCTGGAGGTTTCCAAGACGAGACTGGATGTGGCTCTTAGTGCCATGGTCTAGTAACCACAATAGGGTTGGACTCGATGATCTTGGAGATCTTTTCCAACCTGGTTGATTCTATGATTCTATCTGGGTTTAGGCAAACAGAGGGAATATAAGAGTAATTTATGATCTGAAAGGGACCCATGCAGTTAACCTCTTTGTTCACATGAAGAGTGCCACCACATCATTAATGATCCAGAGCTCAGTTTAATGCTCCATCTAAAAGACAGCACCCCCAGGAAAAGCACTTGCTAGCTTAAGATGAGAACTGATTTGTTAATTCTCCAAAATGTGTAATTCTCCTAATAAGTGATATAAAACATTCTGAATCACAATTGGCATCATAATTCCAAAAGAAAATGTCCATTTGGGAAGTCTAAATTTGAGACCGCATGGTGTCATGCAGACTGAAATGTTTAAAAATGGTAATAATGATGGAAAGAAAATTATGCACCATAAGGTTTTAAATAAGAAGCAGCATTTCTTAAACTTTAACACATTGTTTGAATAAGTGAAACAGGATTAAAGGCCAGACTCACATTACTACTGCAGGTTTTGTATCGAATATTCCGACCTTCACAGTTCCTAAAACACAAGAGTAAAAATGGTTACTCTGTATAATAGCAAAACACAAACCCTGCCTGTTTTACAGCTAGTTATTCTCTAGAAAATTAGACTTTTATTGCTACTGCCCTACCATAATTTGGACTCAATATACAAGGTTTAAATACAAAGGGGATCTGGGGATTCAACGGGTTACACTGCTGTCTCTCTTCAGCAAAGAACGTGTGACTTTTCCTATAAGCCCAATTTACTGCACACCTTATGAAAAACATATTTATTTCATTAAAAAGATTTCACAAGGCATCTCTAAGCCTGATCCATGCTGACTGCAGTGAAGTTATTCCTAATAAACGGGATGCAACCTAGAGGAAAGGAAGATCAGAATATCTAAGCAATCCTTTAATCAAGCATGTGGCTAGTGAATATTAATTTTCCTTCCTTCTGTTTTGTTTAGGAAGGAAAAAACCAGGCTCAAACTTTTTGTTTCTCCCAAAAAACAGTGCAATACTTTTGAGGAACAAAATGTAATTTTACTGCCTCATAAGTGGAATTGATAATTTTAAGTGAAATACAATTCACATGGACTGCAGGAATTTCTAATGTGCTCAGTGCATGTGAATCCTGAAATCCAGGCAATTCAGATCCTCAGTCTGTTGTTAGTAGCTGAAATAACAGGCATATAATAGAGTCATGGTTATTTATTGTGGTCTCATAAATATGGGGGGCTTGGGTTTCACACTTCTTTTAGCAACACTCTGCCAAACTTCTCAATAACAAACCAGCACTTTTGCATAGCCTAAGACATTCTTCGTCTTGAGAATGGCAAAAACAAGCCCTTGAAAGAACTGAAAACATATTTCAAATGACTGGACAAGAAATCTTAATTAGTGATGTCTCTAAAATCAGGAACAGTGTTTTGCAATAATCCCTTCATACCAAAAAGCCCTGCCTTACACTAATGAATGCTTGAATGTGTAGCTGGTAATTTACAGCTCTTGGACTGCATTTTCCACTTCTTGCCTGAAAACTGATAGCAAATATTAATTTCTTTTTTCTAATATGTGAGAGGGATTGAAAAACAGGATTTGAAAAGGAAACAGCAATGGATGCCTGGAGCAAGAACTCAAGCAGCTTAACTGAAGGCACAACTCTTCAAGCTCAAGATATTACAGATCTCAAATTTCCAATCCTTTGCAAGACTGATTGCATCACAACCTGCAAGTTAAAAATGTTTACGACACATACAAATGTGAAAACTTCGTTTCACAGTTGTGTATTTCCTGGACATTGCTACAACAGTCAAACATAGAAAAAAACTTTTAAACTATACATTTGTCAAGGTATGGAAAACACATGTTTTTCATGGGGGAACATATTAAAAATATTAATAAAACCACAGCGGAATTTATACTGCTAGAATTTATTGAGCTCGTTTTACAGTCCCTAACACATTGGTAGAATATCAAGTCTTCTTGCTGGAACTATTGCTTTTCTCAAAGATTTTTTTTGTGCATTTTGCACTAGAAGAAACAGGCAGTGTTCAATCAATCACCTTTAGCTCTGTATTTCATACAGTTTGCAGTTAACTAGCATATCACACTGTAAGCCTTCTTTAAGGAAAACTGACTTCTTGGCTCACGCTGCATTTAACTTAAAAAATCTCAACTAAATAGAAATTTTAAAGTAATCAGAATTGTTACAAATGTTTAAGAATGATTCAAGTGAAACAAGCAATTATGGATGCTTCTAAGGTGTTTTAGATCTCTTCTTGCCTGACTACAGAGCTAGTACTCCTACTTTTAGGATTGCAGCAATAAGTCCTACATTAATTCAGCTTCACTATTGAGGTAAATGGTTTTCACTACACATGCAGTTCTTTCCAAGCCACACAAAGTCTTATCCATGAAAACATGTGGCTACCAGGACCACTGCGTGGAGGGAACTGGCAAAGAAAGGGTTTCCTAACAGAAAGCAGCATTTGATACATCTGTATGAGGAGCAGGTCACTTGTCTTTCACTACAGGGAAGACATGTAGGAACCTACACTTGAACATTATTTCAAGTAAGATCCCAGTGAAGGCTAATTTGTACACAGGTAACTCCCCATTTGCTTTATATTACACTGACAGGAGTTCTTGCTATATTTGACCATACGAAGTAAATCATTCTTGCTATTCCACAAACATATTTCATAACACTTTAAAGTTCTATCAGAGTTGAAGCCTAAATCATTTATCTATTACAAACACATATTAAAAGCAGTATTTTATACCACTTAACCTGTCTGTACACAGCCCTTGGTTCCAGAAACAAGCCACAAGCAGAGGGTTGGGAAGTCTGGCAGAGCTGTAGAATACACACATACACATGCACACAAACCTGGGTCTCACCTGCCATTTAGACATCTCCTCAGGGAGTAGGAGGCTCCTCCTCCACAGGTCCGTGAGCAATCACTCCAGGCTCCCCAGGCATCCCAGGAACCTTCCTTATCTTCATCGGAGCGAGTAATTCTGGAATTCTAAAGAAAAAAATAAGGAATATGAAAAGAAAAAAAATTAATTATTTGGTACGTTTTACTGCTTAGAGCGAGTAATTCTGGAGTTCTAAAGAAAAAAAATAAGGAATATGAAAAGAAAATAACATTAATTATTTGGTACGTTTTACTGCTTGGGATTACTAGTACCAGTTATATATTACTCTGCTGCTTATTTACCATCTCTCAAATTTAATAACTATTTTAACATACAATAATTGCATGGGGGAAAAGCAGAGTGTTTGAAGATGCAGTGTATTTGATGCATTGCCTTCTGCCAAAGAGCTGCTATGCCTGAATATGCTGTTATTCCCAATATCTGTATGTCCAACACACTGTGCAGGACCTGCGCAATCGATCTCCAGACCAGGCACCATGCTCTGAGCTGCTGGGGTCCCAAAAATCCTGACCAAAGGAGTTTCATAGCCAGGGCTGAAGTCTCTCTGTCTCATCAGGTGAGCCTGCTCTCAGCAGCAGAAGAGAATTTAAGGTCCTCAAACTTTTGTAAAGTGCACACCCAGAATTGCAAACAAGGAAGCAAACCAGGCATACAACTTCGCTACAAAAAGTGATGTTAAGTTGAAAGAGACCAGGAGAAAAGGCTTAAAGAGTGATTTTTAGGCTGCAGCAAGTAAACTCTGATTTTTGTTTATGCTCACTTATACAGGCTTCAAAAACATTCATGCCAGGCACCATAAATATAAAAATGAAATTTTTGTGACAAAACCTCAAATTCTGCTTGACTTCTTAAAAAGTGTCTTTTTGCACTTGCATTGTATCCTGTTTAAAAAATCTGACATTTCCCAGAGAAAATTCTCAAAACAGTCTAGAACATGGTAACTTCACACAATAGTTCAATATCCAAAAAGTAATATGAATCCAATTATTCAATCATGTCCTGCTTTAAGACAGCACTTTTCGGTTTATAATTGTCTTCATAGATTTCCCCAAAATTTCTTTTACTTCACTACAATTGCACAGCAGCTGTTCCAGTTCCATCCTACACTCATTCCTCTGTCCCTGTAAGCTTTAAAATTTCTCTTTTGAAAAGCATGCACAGGTTTTTATATCAAAATGCCAAACAATGATTGTTTGAGAGGTGTCAAACACATAATAGGCCTGTTATAAAGACATTAAGAATTTTAGGATCCTATATTTCACCCTACTTGAGATGAAAACACCAATTTCTCTAACCACCATGGTGATAGTTTGCACATAAAATTACTGTTAACATAAAGTAATGGCTTTTGGCATCATTATGAGTCATATTGTGGATAGAAGTGAAGCAGTGAGTCATTTGCCTCAGGTGACAGAGAATATTGACCAATATTTACTCTGCCCCAACAGAATCACAAATGAGAGAACATGAAGATTTAATCCAAGCTTTAATGAAACAACTATTTACAGCCAATTTTTCATTCCCATTGACTTCAGTAGGCAGCTTGTAAAAAAATATTTGTTAATTAGAGGATAAGTATCTCCATTTGAGCACTGAATTGCAGAAGTTGGTCTAAATACATCAGTGGCTCCTTAACTTTCTTGCTCTCATAACTTCACAAATTTTACAAATGCTTACTGTAAAGCTTTAAAAGTGTATTTAGCCCAATCTACCATTCCAGAAATGATGGAGTTCAGCTCTGCCAAGATCCCTGAGGAATTTTCACACTGGCTTTGGGTTTACTTTATATCAGAAGCCAATTCTGAAATGTCTAACACTGAAAATGGAACCAACCACCTTCAAATCTTGTAGAAAAAGAGCTCAGCACTCCCCAACAAGTCACTCAGCACATGAAAATAAGTCAGGATGAACAAAAGAGTCGCATCTTTCAAATTTGTGGGTGCAAAATTAGTTTTTCCACTGCAAGCCTAAGGCAAATGATTGGGTTTTAATATGTTGAGAAATGATCAAACTTATGATAATAAAGAAAGCAATACATGCCACTGTTTTTTAGAATACTTAATTTCTTTTGACAAAGCAGTGACAATGCCCAAAATAATCCTAACTTCATCATTGTATTAAAACCAGCCACATGATATTAACAGACAGAATGTCATTAAAACCCTAAACAAAGTCAAGTTGTTCACTCCCCAAACTGCTTTGACAAAAGCCATTGTTCTGAACTGTATCTAATTAAAAAGCTGTAAATACTATGACGATCAAAGCAGAACTTTATGCCAACAAAGCCTTCTTCAGAATCATTGACTAATTCAGTGCCCACAGTGTTGATTTAAACCCCAGCTAGTTCAAACTATTTGTCCCATGGGAAA